TTCTCTTAAGGAAAGGTTAAACAAATCCACTTTGTCAAGTTAGATTTTCATTGCTCTAACCTGCAGGCCACTCCTGTGCTAGTATCCAGACTTGCATCTCACAATCAGAGCAATACTTATTACACCACCGTCTCTGTCTGAACACACTTTCCCCTGACCTTTATATATATATATATATATATATATATATATCAAAGGTGTAGCTTTTTCATGATGACTTAATGACTTCCTCCAGTACCCTGGAGTGGCACACTTAGTCAGGAACTTAAAAAAATTAAAGTTAAAATCTGAAAGTAATTGTCTGCCACAGAGTGGAGTGATTTGTAACCATCCACCCCCACACCCTATGAATTACTGTATAACCATTGCATGGAAGGTCAAAGATAAAATGTACTAGTGAATGACTGACTTTGTAAACAGCATGTGGTTAACAGCTAATTTTGTTCTACAGTTTTTGGTCTCATTTCTGTCTGAGTATTGCTACTTTTCTTTGTAGTGGCTTTTACAACTCTTGCTGATGTTTGGATTAATTCTGGCCAGATGGCTTCATGCAGTGAGTTTGTGTACGTGTCACAAATTTGAGATGTCTATTTCAATTTTCATAGAGAAAAATGCTTCTTTGTACTGTCAGTTTATATTATACTTTCCCATGAAATTCATAAAATCAGGCTTGCTTTAGGATTCTTTGAGTCTTGTGCTTCAAACTCAAAAACAAATCCCAAACAAAAGTACATTTTATGCTTTCGAAAAAAACATTCAATCTTCTGGGTTTTTTGCTAATTGTCATTAAAATATTGGATGATTTGGGTACATTACTATACCACCTAGGAACCCCAATCATGGGCTAGGACCCAATTGTACTAGCCACTGTACAGACAGAGCAAAAAATGGTTCCTTCCCCAAAGAGCTTACAGTCTGACCTTGAACATGAGCTGTCATTTATGAATAGCACAGCTTATAAGTGCTTGTGCAATAACAGGGAGAGCATTAGAGAAGACCTGCCCCCCAGGGGTGAAAGTGGGCTGGTCTGGGCCAGTACAGCCAACCGGTAAGAAGCCGGTACCGGCCCATACGCAGCCAACCTTAAAGCGCTTCCGTGACAGTGCTTTAACGTCGTTCCCCCTTTTGCCCGCCCCCCTCCCCGTCGGTGGCAAAAGGGGCAGCTGCCCCAGGGCCAGCGATTTAAAGTGCCCCAGGGCTCCCGGCCAGTGCTACCATGGCAGTGGCTGGAGCCCCGGGCCCTTTTAAATCGCTGCCGGAGTGCCGGGCGGCACAGGCGAGGCAACGCAGATGGGTGGCTGGGGGAGGCTGACCGTTAGCCCCTCCCCTTCCGCCTGAGGCCCCGCCCCTTCCTGGGACCGGGACCCTGTACCGGTAAGAATTTAATATTACTTTCACCCCTGCTGCCCCCATCTTTTTTTTTTAAGCAATAGTCTAATAGCCATGCTTATAACCTTTAGTTCTCCTTAAATGATTCAGGGCCTGATCCAAAGCTCATTGATGTTTTCCCATTGACATCAGTGGACTTTGGATCAGGGCCTCAATGGGCATTATGTCACCTACAACCAAGACACACATTGGTCTACAGCAAGTAATGCAGTGCCTGTCCATATACTGAACATGACTTAAGCTGGCCTGTACTGGAGGTCCAGTTGAGGGGAGTTTCTTTCTGCAGCCCCAGGAATGGCTCTGGTGTGTGCTGCGAGTGCTCTGAGCAGCTACTCTCCCTTTCCTGCTGCTTGCCTGTCCCCTGCTGAATTGCAGGGACGGGATGACAGCTGCTGTGGCTGCTCCATTGCCTACTTCCCAACTGGGCTGTGGAAGCCCTAGAAAGAGCAGGATAGGAGCTCAACCTGCCCTGCCTGAGGCTAGGGAGATAGTCAAAGCATTGGTTGTGGCCCTTTGACCTGCAGGAAATAATACCTTTGGCCCCTCAGGCAGAAAAGGTCGTGCATCACTGATGTAGATAAAGATATAAATTATGCCCTAGCAGTACAGATACAACCCTCTAAAGTGAACAGCAAATTTCATGGTGGATCCCCAACGAAGAAGCCGTAGCATCCACGCATAATTACACCAACTTCTATATGGTACTGGGACATACAGAGCTGACTTACGTGTGGTCTACAATGGAAAATTAGGTTGGTTCAACTAGGCTGGTCAGCGCGGTGAAAAATCAGATGTTATTATTGAAGTGCTGTTTGCCTTGCACAGAATAATGCCTAAAGTTATGCAATGCTATGGAAAAGAATTCTTTAAACAGTCATAGAAGTTAGAGACAGAGTCCTCTAGAATACAGAAATATTTCCATTCATTATTTATGTTTGCATTTGCCATCTTCTGACTTAAGATTCATCCAGCAGATTTAGTGCTACAGACAAACTGAGATTCAAACATGCATAATATGCCCTGACTTAATCAATATCAAACCACTAAGAATTATACAGTACATTCTTAACCTCAAGTATATACATTTTATAAGTAAGCATGAGGGCTCTCAAATTATTTAATTAATCTCTCAATCCTTTACAATAAATTTAATAAGGGACAGGTGATGGGTTATAGAGTCTTTAGCTGCCAGGTTCTGCTTCAAATCCAGCCCAGATTATTATTAATTTGTGACGGGCAGACTAGGTGCCAGCTCATGCCAAAGGCCCATGGCCTCACTGAACACTGACAAATGCATAGCTGGAACCAGTCTGGCTTTTCTGTAGGTTAATACAGTAAAAGCTGTTTTATCTGGGACTTCATCAACTGGAAAGCTCTATAAACCGGCATTTCTGATCTTCATTGAAATGGCAGTTTATAGTCTGGTTGGTGCGGTGCCAGCAAGGGGTTGGGGCTCGGGAGGGCATGTGGCGACCTGTCCCGGGCTCTGATTGCTCCAGGCGGAGGCACGGCAAGTGGCTGTGCACACTCCCCACCCCTCCTGCCGTGCCCACTGCCAGCTGCGCATCTCCCATTGGCTGGGAACTGCGGCCAATGGGCGCTATGGGGGAGGCGCCTGTGGGTGGAGACAGCGTGCAGAGCCACCTGCCACGCCTCCACCTAGGAGCAGCCAAGACAGGTCGCCGCTTGCGGGGAGTCACCTGAGGTGAGTGGCCCCCAGATCTGGCACCCCACACCCACTCATGTGCCCCAACCCTCAGCCCCACACACCCTCCTGCACCAAAACTCCCTCCCTCTTAGTTAACTGGCATTTTTCATTTACCGGCACCCCCTATTTCCCCAAAATGCTGGATAAAACATCTTTTACTGTATAGTTAAAATAGATATTAGTGTTCTAAGAATGTGTTTAGACTTTATGGAATGCTTGTTGGATGCTGCACGTATTGATCTCACTTATAACTTTGTAGTCCGTGGTATAAAGTTATAGTGAGTGTTTGCATTGTAAATCTCTGTAATTGTGTAGTAAAGTGCTCATCCTGCACACAAAATGGCCCATTGGAGGCAAATGAGACATTTTGTGGCATCAAAGAACCGAGATCTTATTGATTGCATTCCTCATTCCCTCCAGGAAGGGGAGGGCCTACGCATGAACTCATCCCATCAGCTTGGATTCTGGGGTGAGGGGGAATAAAAATCCCTGACAAGGAGAAATTGGGTCTCTTTATGCTGTCTGGAGTCTGAAGGGCAAAGATTCCTAAACATAAGCAAGAGATCTCCATGCTGCCTGGCATGGGCCAGCCCTAAAGGACATATAAAGCTACTTATTATAGAAGCTCATATTACCTTTTTAAAATCTAAGACTGTAACTCACATGTGTGTATGTTTCCTGTTTTAACCTTGTAAATAACCAGTTTCTTTTCTTAGTTAGTAAATCTTTAGCTAGTTTATTACAGGACTGGCTACTGGTGTCATCTTTGGTTTGAGATCTAAGTACAACTGGCCGGGGTAAGTGACCGGTCCTTTGGGACTGGGAGTAACCTGAATATTGTTGTGATTTTAGAAGTAAACTGACCATCTATCACACAGCCCAGCTTGGCTGGGTGGCAAGATAGACTGGAATGCCCAAGGGGACTGTCTGTGACTCCATGGTAAGACTGTTATAGAGCTTTAGTAGTTCACACTTATTAATGGGTTGGTGAAATCTAGTTACACAACCTACAACGAGTTTGGAGTTTCTGCCCTGCTCTCTGACAGTCTGCCCTGAGGTTGGCATTCATGGTCATGAGCCACTCCAGACAGAGTGAGTTAATTACTGTCATTTAAGTGCAGATAGTGTGCTCATAGACTGAGACACAGCCTTTGCTCCATGGAGTATGACAAGAAGCCCTCCCCAGCCCTCTCTAATAAGAAAACTGAGGATCCCAGTTTTGTTTCTTCTCCTGACTGAAGCTACATCATCCCTGACAGTCCAGCAGTGGAGAGAAATAGGACTAGAGTTGATACACACCTTTTCAGGAACTGGGCTCTCCTTAATAGCTGTCTTCCCAAAACCCTCCCCATCATTCATCCGCAGCAGGATGACAGCTTACCTTGATCTTAGATCAAGTACAATTCCCCTCCATCAATTGTACAGAATAAGAGTCTGATCCTGAAAGTACACACATCAGTAACTTTATTCACATAAATTAGTTCCATTAACTTCAAAGTTACTCACGTGTGTAAATGTCTGCAGGATTGGGCCTGTAAATCTAAATCTTGTCAGCAGTAACAGAGACTGGGGCAGTTTTGTTTCTATTTCCACATCTGTATGGAATTAAGATAGGGGTGAGATTACAAACTGATTGACTTACTGCACCACAGGTTGATTATAAAAGGAGTCCCATGGTCTAAGAAGAAAGATGTAGGTTTGTGTTTTTGTATCCCACGTTAGAAGATTGGGTGTGCAGATATCTCAGTCAAGGAGTGAAATACTGAGATTCTGCGTGCAGAAAACTATGATTGAACCATTGTTCTTTTTTGCATTGGTAGGATCACTTCACTTCACCCAGAAATTGCTTATCAATTGGAGAGGTGGAACTGCACATACAGTGGGAAGCATTAGGGCAACTGACCTTCAGGTGTGGGATGACAGCTTGGCAGACAGAGCTCTATTTTCCTCTGTTTCTTAGACTCCCTATCCAAAAAGGAAAAAAAATAACATTTATAAATGATAACAGCTGTTGCTCCTGCTGTGCCTAAGTCAACGAATTCCAGCATCATTACTATAAGAAATGATAAACACCTCTCCAGCTATGGTCCAGGTTGTATGACTTCTTTGCAAAACATAAGTAGTTCAAAAGATGATTACATCCTTTTAAAGCAGCATGTCTTTTATAATCAGCCTGCTGCAACACACATTCCTCTCCCCTCAGCTCTGTAAAGAAATTCAAAAGCCTTAAGCTTGCTGTATAACAGGCATTCAGGTATAATAGAGGGGAGGGATAGCTCAGTGGTTTGAGTATTGGTGCTAAACCCAGGGTTGTGAGCTCAATCCTTGAGGGGGCCATTTAGGGATCTGGGGCAAAAATTGGGGATTGGTCCTGCTTTGAGCAGGGGGTTGGACTAGATGACCTCTTGAGGTCCCTTCCAACTCTGGTATTCTATGATTCTTCAGAAAGCACAGTTTAATTAGACAGCTCTCCTGTGTATCAAGTGATATTCATGTCATTATCTTTTTCCCTATTCATCTGAGTGGATGTGGTTCCTAGTAAAGAAGATATCAAGAGGAATGTTTATTTTAAGCTTTTACACATCTCAAGAACAAGCACTCATCTCCTACGTGAGGCCATTTTCTACCGGATGGAACATACTGGTCTGTATTCTTTTAGATAAATCACTCACCGTATTACTCACCCATTCATAGGGGCAACTGTATTATTAGAGTAAATGTCTGATCCGGAGAGGCGCAGTTAGAAACAGGCTTGGATCCTTGGAGTCTAAACAAGAAAAATGATGAGTGAGTCACCTGAAAACCCAATCAGATATTAAAGTAGTATGCTACAGATGCTCATTGTGGCAATGCTGCTTGGTGGCCTGTGGGTAACAGTAGCATCATCAGGGATTGAGGAAGCTTGCCTTTCACAGGTAGTAAAAGTACTTGGTAACTGTATGCAAATAATGAGGAAGAGTCTCACTGGTAACTCAGCTCTTCCCTAGCTCTCATGCATATTTTTATTATTCGAGCTGCCCTAAAGAGGACATTGAGGCTGGGAGGGTAGTTACAAGAAGCGGTAACAAAAGCCCAGATTTTTTTTAAGATGGCTAATGTTCTAATGACTCACTGTTATATGCAGGCACTTGCCTATGAAATTATAACTTATCAATTATGACACAAAGAAGAGCTTTGTGTAGGTCAAAAGCTTGTCTTTCATCCATAAAAGTTGGTCCTATAAAAGACATTACTTCACCCATCTTGTCTCTCTAAGTTATAACTATATCATTTGAAGTGTTTGTTTCACCACAAAATTAACAATTCATCAACTGATAAATCAAATGTCAACACAAAGACTGAATTTTTATCCCCTTCCCCCCAAAAAAAAAGTATGTTGAAATTGCTTTGTTTTGGCCCAAACAGTTGATTTCATATTCTCATTGGGAAAAAAACAAATCTGTGCACTTCTGCCTGTTGCTGACAATGCACATGACAAGAACAGTTTCTGGAATGCAAGCCTAAGGTTCGAGTCCCCCAGTGCCACACTGTAGCCCAGGTCTTCAACATGGCAATGCACTGTACTGTCTCCAAACCACTGGGATGGAAAGTTTTGGAGACCAAAAAACTTTGATATCATAGAAGCTTCAAACACTGCACTCACAATCTAGATTGTCATACCATTTCCCAATCAACTAGTAGCAAGAGTAGGGTTGCCAACTTTCTAATTGCACGAAATCAAACACCCTTCCCCCCCGCCCCTGCGCCCAAGGCCCCACCCCTTCTCTGAGGCCCCTGCTCACTCCATCCCCTCTCCCTCTGTTGCTTGCTCGCTCTTCCCCAACCTCATTCACTCACTCATTTTCACTCGGCTGGGGCTCAAGGTTGAGGTGTGGGAGGAGGTATTGGCTTTGGGGTGGGGCCATAAATGAGGGGTTCAGGGTGCAGGAGAAGGCTCTGGGCTGGGGCTGGGGCACCCCAGAGAGGGCACCCCTGTGAGAGGGGGTGTGGGCTCTTGGAGGGAGTTTGATTGCAGGAGGGGGCTCCAGGCTGGAGCAGAGGGTTGAGTTGTGAGGGGAGTGGGCTCCAGGCAGCGCTCAGGGGACTCCCCAGAAGTGGTGACATGTCCCTTGGCTCCTAGGGTTCCTAGCCAATGGGACCTGCGGAGATGGTGCTCAGGGCATGGGCAGTGCGCGGAGCCCCCCTGGCCACTTAGGAGCCAGTCCTTTTTCGACTGGGCTTTCCAGTCAAAAACTAGACACCTGTCAACCCTAAGCAAGAGATCTAAGTAAACCACACCTAACTTCAGGCATTAACACACTCCCACCATTACAATGCTTCAAGCCCATGTCTGCGGGAAATCTAAAGGACGTCTCCAGCAACATATTAAACTACCCCCCGGAAGTAAGAGGATGTAAAAATCCTTTTACCAATTCTTCCACTCCAGAGAGAAAATGTTTCCTAAGAGTCTCTGTGCATTTCTCTAATTCTGTTCAACAGGTCAACAAACATTGGTTTAAATTCTTTCCTTCAATTGACTGTAATGAAAATTATGTGCACACTTCCAGGGCAGAATTGAATCCTGTTACAATGAATTTGGGAAATGAAATACATGTGATTAAACTAAGCCTATTGTGGCTATGGCAACACTGCTAATAAGTGCTGCGGTGTATTGTCATACAACTCCGTCCTGGATTTATAAACAGCTGGAATGCCAGCCTGGGACATTTCACTAACTTAGCAGTGAGCAACTAGGTAAGACTCAATAACGGGAAGTGGAGTGTTAGACACCCAAGAGGTAGTTTTATTTTATTTTCTTCAGACTCAGACATATCAAACACAAAAGACTGGGCTTGCTAGTCTCCAGCAAACAAATAAGTACATGACATTGTGACTGTGAGAGCCTTTGAATGCCAACTAGCAGAAGGCACTCCATAGTGTAACTCATATAAGGCCTGACAAAGTCACTACTGCTACCCCAAAACACGGTGTTCATAATATATATCTCGAAGGTATATGTAAACTCATGACATGCTGGTCCTGAAAATCATTGTGAGATGTATGTACAGGTTATGTTCAAAGAGTTATACATGTGAGCTGGAAATTCGTTCATAAAAAGTGTGAGAGGTGGTGCATATATCAAGCCTGACAAAGCCTAGATAAAGTAATGTGGGTTTGCCTGGCTTGATTAAAGGCAGAGGATAATAAAAGTACATTTACATATAAGGTAAACAATGATATCACGCTAACAAGCTGAGGAGGAGACAATTTAATAAATATGCCAGGGGACAGAGCCTGCCCCCCAGTACTCCTTCTTGGCTCTTGAGACAATGGACTTTGGGTAATATAAGGCGAGCAAAAATACATTTTAGTTCGTCATCACTTAAGGGACAAAAAGGTCAGAGATCTTGGAATCTGTGAAATGTGGATCCTTCAGCCATGTGGGTCGAAGCCTCTGGGAACTGACTATAGTTGAGAAGTTGCTCGAGACCAAGACCATAATCTATTAAGCCTTAAACACTAGAAAATGTTATTTTTTGTTTGTAACCATATCTATCTCTCTCTTATGTAGTGTCACTTAATTCTCTGTTCTTTATTAATAAACTTGTTCTTGTTGTATTACAAAGCCATTTCCCTGCTATTTATTAAGGTGAAGTGTGAGCCTTCAACTACCTTAAACTGGTGTGTAGGCAGCAAACATAATTTCTGTGAGTGTCACAGTGAAAGGGCATGGAAACTACAGGGATATCTTAAGGGAAACTCAGGAACTGAAGTTCACTGATTATTACCTTAAAGGCAAGGTTTAGACTGAGGAGTTTGCTGGCGAGATAGACAGACAGGTGTGGAAGATAGCTGACACAGTCTAACCTCCAGCAAAGCTCTGACTTGCTGAGGCAGAGGGGTAACACAGTGGCTTATGGCTCTGGGTTTCCTGATCAGAACATCATAACCACACAGCAGAAAGAGTGAAAATAACTGCATTGCTTCACTTCAGAGGGGTCAAAGTAGATCTGAGAAGACGTGAGAGAGGAGCAAAGAAGAAGAAATAATCAGAAGCTGGATAATCACAGACCTTGCAAACATGCTAAAGAATTCAGAAGTGGAGACCAGCGATGCGGGCTTAAAGGGGATTCCCAAAGTAATTTACTACTAGAATCCTGCTGAATATAAAAAATCACTGTGATCCATTCAATGTAAAGTGTAATCCCAACTATTCAGGGACACCCAGCCCACAATGTGTTTTTAAACCCATTTCTCCTTCTCCTAGTTGTTATGACTAATATTAGCTACATATTAATATATCAAATGTAATTCCATGTCGGACATTGTTTCCTAAAATGGCATCCCAAGTTCAATCTGTTCTAAAAATGTTTCTGTTAAGAGCAGCTGTTTCAAATACCAATCTATATATTTCCATATTCAGTTTTTTCTATATTTAGATGTAATATTTTATAGAAATGCCATGAAAAGTGGTTGGCAAAGTCTAAATCGTCTTTTCCCTTATGGTAAAATGAGTGGGAAGATGGGACTTTTTATTCCAATTTAGAACGTAGTAGCCCAAACCTACATAACAAGCCTATACTTCCTATCAGCAAGCCACTTGGCTCTTCTAGATATCTCACTTCCTTTTCATGCAAACCCCTGGGCCCTTGCCACAAAAGATTTAAATAGAGCTGGGTATGAAATGGATTTTCCATCCCAGGACATTTTTTGAGATTTCAAACATTTTTCCACCACCTGAACTCTGACAAAAAAAGTCAAAATCTCAAAAATCCTCCCCCCCGCCCCATTTAACTTGGGTCAACTGTGACGACATTTCATTTCACAATTTCAAAACATTTCATTTCAATTAACTCACATTTTAAAACCCAAAGTTGTTTTGAACTGAAAAACAAATGTTTTGCACTGAAAATGCCAAAATGCCCATCTCAATCATTTTGAAATTTTCCCCAAATGTTTGCAAAAAAACAAGAAATTCATCACAAATAATCCTTTCCCACAAAAGGTTTTGATTTTCATAGAGGCATCTTTTGACAGAAAAACTTTCAAGTGAAAGATACCTGACCAACTCGTATTTTAAAGTAAGCTGCTTTTCTTTATGGCAGTCATGAGATGGGATTGAGGAATGATAAACTGTCGCTCTTCAGTTCTATTTAATGTCTTATATCGTGCCCACCACGGCACTGGAACATCTTTTAGTGACAGGACTAGCATTTGTCACACATGATTCTTCCCTACTCCATACTTTCTCACTCCCCACACCCCTACCTTCTCTCCCCCTCCCTTGCAGGGGCTGGGGAAGTGTGTGCATGGGGGGGCGGGTTCCAAACAAAATGAAAAATATTCCATTTTTTCCTTCAGTTTTTGCCACTTATATTTACCATTTTTGGATCTACTCTAATCCAAGTCCAATACTAAGGTGGATAAAGGAAGCCAAATATAGAACTGGAGTTGCAGAATTAAAACTATATCCTTTTAGCTAAAATCTCACTGTGAAACCAAATTTGAGTACAGAAGACAGTATGGTATGAGGGGGAACACAGATTTACTCTGGCTATAGAGCTGGTGGTTGTGACATTTTGGGGGATCATCCACACTGGGTAAGGCATTCTGCTACAACCTGCTTTGTAATCTTGAGGGCCTCTATGCTGTTCAGATATGGTTCAATTCCCTGACACCAGTAGCTGCAAACAAGCATAAGATCTCGCCCTGGCTCTTACCAGTCCAGTAACTCCTTGCGAGGTGACACCAACTGCCCTTCCAGTCCTGGGTCTCCCCAAATCCCTTT